ACCTTCTCTCTCTCTCTCTCTCTCTCTCTCTCTAAGTCTTGTGGATTCCCGGGTCCCCAAAGCCAATTCCCTGGAGCCTTGCACTTGGCAAGAAGGGATATTGGTGCGATAAGTTGCCCCCGTGTGCTCAATTTCCCAATGTGATCGCTTCTCTTTAGGAAAATGCAATACCAATACCTATCTTGTTATCCCCGATTGATACTAGTTGACCAAATAGTGATATCCTGCCCTCGTCAACCTCACTCGTGCGTACTTGTGTCACGGGCGAAGGTATTACTATTTGTCATTTAGACACAATGCTCGGGCGACGTGAAGTGTACGGTACGGTACTGTAGTGAGTGTTACAACCCGTACAATAGAAGGAGATCGAAGGTAGCTTCCGGGGGTCTGCTGGCGGGACCACTGCATACATTTGGAGAGCACGAGGCCCCGAAGAACTCGCTCGACCCAGCAAATCTGCTAGTATGCACTCACGTCCGCGGGGTTCTCGTAACGTCTGATGACCACCAAGTCCCCACAGTTTTCCACTAGAAGATCGCAGAAGTTGTTTACTGGTGAGAAAATGGGAAGATCCTTTATGGAATTTGCTTTTGCTACGAGTAGATTTAAAAGAGATCTCTCGAGGACGAGCCATCCCCGTCTTGTTATCCTCGGCTAGAGCTGTAAATAATAATGTTCTGTAGCTAACTGCAAAGGAAGCATCCCAATCCAGGTTGATAGGGTACATCAGGTGTTACGAGAACTTTGCGGACGCGAGTGTGGTTCACCCGGCAGGGGCTGGTGGTAGAGTGTAGACTAGAAGTTCTTGTAGCGGTTCGCCCGCCGGAGCACCACACTAGAATCGGACAATCAACTTCTTCTATATAGGAATGGTTTGAATCAAACTCTTTAACGTCGAGCAAGCAAGTCCCACTGGTCCCCTGCCCTTGCCAACTCGACCCAATCGCCAGGCCACCCCCCGTGGATGAACGAATCCGAAACCGCTGTAACCCGGAATCTCTCCGACACGTCCCGATCAGTTGACGCTCTCCTCTCACCCCATCTCTAACCTCCCATTCCCCTTCACCGTCAAACCCCTCAACTACAGACGCATCCGGGGCCCGCCCGAGCTCTGGTAGAACCTCGTAGCGCTCTATTCCCTCGAGAGCCGAAGTGGCGGATTTCCGGCCGTGCCGGCGGTGAACATCCTTTCCACGCCCCACACCCCAACGGGGGCCCCAGTGTCTCGTGATTGCCATAGCGCCGGCGTAGTGGCAGTTATGCGATGCCCCGCCTCAGGTTGAGGAGTGGAAGTTGAGGACAGAGGGAGGGGCTCAAGGCCGATGTAGAAGCTCTGAAGAGGTTAGGGTAGGAGTGCCGAGGGTGATGGTAGGAGTGGGGCAAGTTGATTGTTATCAAGTGTGTACCGCACCCTTCCGCTGGCTCTATCTCCCGACGTTCTATATATCATACTGATGTACGAGTAGGAAACAGCAGCCCCAACAACCCAACCAGGCGTGATCAGCTCCACCGTGATCGAGATCCTGAAGGATGTAGCCTCGATGGCCCATTCCTACGGCAGCACCCCACCCTCCCGGGTATGTCTTCCTTCCTCTCTTCCACAACCTGGACCTCCCGGCCGCAGTCAATCGTGGACTTCTCTCCCCCATAGCATCACAGCGGGCTCGTTATCCCAGACATGCGCAATCGCCGTGTGGCGGCGAGGTAGTCTAGCGCTGCGGCCCGGGATTTCAATATCATTTCCATGCACATGCTGGACTATGCAGTCGCGGCGTGTGCATTTTAGAAGGGGGTCTTGGGGAAGTTTCTAGAGAGAAATGTGGCGCTTTGCAAGAGGGATTGGGGCATTGTTGATGTGTTCTTTGATGGGGAAGGGGGATTGACGGGACGAGATTTGAGGCCTCCTATGCCAGATCATCTGGCACGGCTTTTCTTGCTCAGGGAGTCGACAGGGATGGGGTTCCGATTGCTGATACGAGCTCTAGTCGTGATTTGCGCACGAGGGCAGGTCTTGCTCGTTCCCGGGGGATTTTGCTTCAGGAGTGAGTTCAAGGGATATCTCGGGGTGCGGCATGCCTGTGACACGGGGTTGTTCGGAGAACGACTACGGATACGGGTAGAGGGATCCGGAATTTCTTAAAGATGCTTAAAAGAGAAATCTAAGCTAACCGCCATGCGCATTTCGTCCGTATACTCGAGTCGGAGCAAGCGCCCCGAGGGCCAGAAATTAAGAAAGAGACCTCTTGGTGCTAGCTAACCCGCTCAAATATCTGACCTGTCAACTCCCAAGACAAATTATAAAGAGGAAAACAAGACGCCGCCTACACACTTCGCACTTATCAAAACAAGACCATTCTATCATGAAATTTAGTCCAGCAAAGAAAAATCCAAGTCTAAGCACTGAGATTCGGCATTTTAGCTTCTTCGTGATCCTCGGAGCCACGACTTCTGGAGCCAGATTTCCTTTTCTCCTTCCCCTTCTTATCCTTCTTATCGCCCTCCTTTTTAGCTGCATCAGCCACCAGCTGTTCAAATACACCTTCAGGGAATTCTTCATCGGGATCACGTTCCGCCTGGGGCTTGTTAGTGAAAACGTTCCAGAGGCGGGGCTATCTGAATACTAGAAGCAATACATTCTTGAAAATAGTTCCAATCATGATCAAAGCGTGCGCCCTCTCGACTCTTTTGTTTAGAGAAACGTTTTTTTCGTTCAAAACCTTATCGCAAACCTCCCTGTCGGATGTATTAGCAACGGAATTATCAGCCGAGCTGATCACTTTGGAGCTTTACCTGAGAACGCTCTGAATCTCGAACTTGCTTCCTCTCCAAGCCGCAGCTAGGATCTTGCCAGTCACTTTTCGTTCGTACTCGGCCTTCTTCTCATCGGTCCAATCTTCGCCTCCCTTCTCCTCCATCTTTGCCATTTCTTCCATTGTCATTTGTGCATCTATGGCAGTAGATATGGTTCCCCATGTATCTTTGACAATATTCCCTTTATCCTTGAGCCTACTAAAAAAACCGCTGATCCCGAGAAACTTTTGGGATTTGACAAAAGAAGCGCCTTTAGAAAGGTATGTATTGCCGATAGCTTATCACAAATAATTTCAATAATGATCTGGGCGGATGAACCGTGGGGGACCTACCGTGCAAGATATCAATCCCGAAACTCTCCATCTTGAGATTTTCAACCTCATATTTAGTCTTTTCGTTGAAAGAGTGAGTAACCTCGACACCCTTGTCTGTTTCGGTCCAGACACAAATTCGGTCCACCAATTTCTTAGCCAAGGTATCGACCCTCTCCTGCCTAATCTTTCGCCTTTCCGCTTCATATGCGGCAAGCTCCTCGCGCTGTTCTTTGGTCAACCCCTTTTTCGCCCGCTCCTTCCGTTTTAAGTCCTTCTCCTCTGGAGTCATGCCCTCAGCGTCCATCCGGGCGTCCTCCTCTGATTTATCCGTTAACATTTGCCTTGTTGGTACACCTCTCGGACGGGGGGTAGAAGATCTCGATATAGGTGGAGAGGTGAATGGAACTTTCTCTGACTTTTCTGCTGGGCGAACCAGTGGGTCCGAGGGAGGTGTCACTTTATGATCGGCCGGGGATGCAGAAGTAGGGGGCGCTTCCTCGTCTGTCGCATGGGAAACGGAAGCTTTCTTCTCGGAAGTTGTAGTATTTGATGGACCAGCTTCGCTCTCGGAAGCTTTCTTTTCTTCGTCACCACTCGCTAGCTCGTCTTCTTCGGCGTCCTTCATCGTGATTTCCATCGTCCTCGTCAGGTCTTTCATGAGCGAGATTTCACCAATCCTTTCAGGTTAAAAGAGATTATTAGCTCGTAACTCTGGGTGAACGAACCATAACAATCGACGAAGAAGCTTTACCAATCCACAAAGGCTTCACCTCCGAATATCATACTGAAAAACTCTCCAGGGTCCTCTGGAAGCTGTTAGCGCATTAACCCTAGTAAAATACATGCGGAGAGTCTCAATCAAAATCCTACCAAAACCGCTGTCCGGAACAGCTCGTTCTTTCCCAAATTTATCATACTGTCTCCGCAAATCAGTGTTGCTCAGGACTTGGTAGGCTTCGCTAATCTAATAAAGGATTTCCGAGTCAGCCTAAGATCACAATAACATTTATTTCCTAAGCAGATTAAGAAAGGAATCCTGACAGCCTGAAACTTTTCTGCCGCAGTTTCATCATCAAGGTTTTTGTCGGGATGTAACTTTATCGCAAGCCTGCGGTATGCTTTCTTAACTTCGAGCTCAGTAGCTGTCGGTGATACCCCAAGGGCATCATAGTACTCTGTTTCCTTGACCATTTGGAGTCGATGAAAATAAGAGCTGAGAGACGGGGTGGTGTAAAGCAGAGAGGAAAGATGGAAGGCAAACAACCCGAATAAACTCGGCCAGAAAAACTAGACAAGAGGTGGGGCTGGGGTGATATGTGACGTTGTGTAGGTAGCCCAATCAAGTTGGACTTCGGGTGGGTGACTCAGCTACCGCAAAGCGAACTCTCGAGCTGTTTTCACATGGCATATCATACCGGTACCATTGAATTCCGCTAGATACAGGCACACACAGTGTCATGTTAAGCGGTACTGTTAAAAACGTACAACCCCTGTTTATTCACTATTTGTATTTATTTTCAGGGCTAATCTAAATACTCGTGCTCATTCGTAATTTAACAACGCACCCGACAGAGAAGTGCCTCCGAGACGGGCCGGCACTTCGGTCGCATGGCTTGAGACGCCTATGTGGTAGTGCAATAGTTTCTCAATATACACCAGCACATTCACATCCACTGCACTAGCAAGGGGGGCTGTCAATTGCAAAAACGTTCAAAGCTTCATCGTCATCATCAAACAATTCAATTTCGAACATCACGGATGTTCACCGTCAAGCTAGGTGGATATGGAGACTCGGAATATAAGAAAAAAAGGAGGAAAGGAAAAAAGGGTTAGAACCAGCTTCTCTTTGAATCCGCAGCCTATTTCTCTCCATTCTTAGCCATACGAATGAAGCATTGCTCATAAGCCTCGTGGATTTCGGGAACTGTGTAGTTGTATTCCTTGAGCTTGTTGACAAGCTTAGTGGAGTCAAGCTCACAGTTAGACCTGCCAGCTTTGATGACCTTGCTCTGCTCCTCAACAGAGAAGTTCTTCCATTCGAAGGAAGGGCGAACATGTTTCTTGAACAAGGCAAGGACTTCGTTGTGCGAAATGGCGCCAGGGTTGGTCTAAAAGAGGGATAATTTAGTGAGGCTCATGGAGGGGTTGGGGGGGCTCACGAAGTTATAGACACCGAGCTCATTGTTCTCAGCGAGAACGATGGACGCCGGAAGGAGGTCAGTGAGAATTGTGTTTGACTATAATACTGGTCAGTTCGCAGGTGATATGCTCAAACACAAGTAACACACACGTTAGGGATATCAACAACTCGTTCGTATTTGGTAATCTTTGTGACAAAGTTTCTTCCGTGCAAGTCATCCGAAACCGGCATCCTAAGTCTGAGGACCAGGACATTGGGATAATGGATCAAGATCTGGAGTTAAAATTAGCATACTAGGTTTAGCAGAGGATTAATCGGGAACAAACCTCCTCAACATTGGACTTGGTAGCTGAGTAGAAAGATCCATCAAAGTTTGCTGGATCTTCCTCCTTGAAACTTGCACCACCAATAGGATGCTTATCGTCGTAGTGGTAAACACATCCAGTGGCAAACACAGTGCAGTGGATGTTTCTCAAGAAGCAGCAATCGGTCAGGTTCAAAGTACCAATCACATTAGAACGAATCGTGGCCTCCTTGTTGTCCTCACACCAGTCGACATTGGGTCTTCCGGTGCACCCAGCAGCATTGAGGACGTGAGTAGGTTTGACCTCATCAAGCAGCCTAAGAACCATGAGCCGTAAAGTTCCCTCTCCCCGAAAACAAAACCCGGACGGAGACAGAAGAACGTCAACTTACTTCAGAACAGATTCGCGGTCTTCCATTCTCACAGTTGTGGTCACAACCTCTTTGCCCTGACTTTCGAGGATTGTCTTCAAGTGTCCAGCAACCCATCCATTTCCTGGCAGTCATTGTAAGAATTAAGTTAATCATGGGGAAAGGTGTCTTTGCTCACCACCCCAAACCAGAAATTTGTGTCTCGGTGTCGCGCCCTCAACCATTTTGTTAATGAATTTGATAACAAAGGCAAAAAATGAAGATATTTGGAGAAGCAATTGATTAATTGATGAGTATTAGGAGATGATGGTTGAGGAAGAGGAATGGAAGAAGCGGGGGAGGAGGAACTGGCTGTTAAAAAAAGGGTTCAACTGCTTACCGTGTACAAGTACTGTACAAGGCAGGGTGGTTGCTGTCTTACACAGGGGAGCGAGGGATCACGTTTGCTTCATGCAACAAGCCCAATGCGCCAAGAACACTCCCCGCAGGGTAATCAATGGTATGGTAGTTTCAACACTTTAGAAAAATCAGACTAAGTCCAGTGAGCCTCATGCGTGATATCCATACGGCAATCAATACACTCCAACTATGAGTGAAGTACTCGGGTATGGTCATAAAGGGCGGAAAAAAAGATCGGCAGGGTCATGTGGGGGAGTTAGGAGACTGGTTGCCTCAGTGGAAAGATTTTCATCTTGGCAGACATCAGGAAGCGGGATCACAAGAACAAAGTACCTTAATACGGTGAAATATACCTTATTATGATATTGTGAGTAAGTGGCTAAGAAAATGATACCACTATGATCTCAAGACTGATAATAACTGCCCTTAGGTGCTGTTCTACTACAAGTTTTAGAAAAACTGGATTGTTTACATCAGCAAAAAAAACTCTGCGTCTGATGCGTGGGGGCGCGTCCTGACGCCGAGTTTTTTTTTTTTGCATCCCCTGCGTCCTGTGCGTCCTGATTCTGGTTGCAACGCCCCACTGCGTCCCGTGCATCCGGGCTTCCAGCCCCGACGCCCCCCTACGTCCCCTGCGTCCCGTCACCACTCCCTCGCATGCTCACCTCCGGTACCCTCTGGCCCCTCGGTTGAACGTCTGGATCACGTCCCTACGTTGCTACTGCAAAACCGTCGCTCTGATCACAGCGCTCGCGGCCTTGCGTCTGCCTCACCACCTGACGCTCAGCCCCAGCCTCCATCCTCAGGGTTCCTGCCTGGCGCCCCCCTTTGTCACCGCGACATCCAGACCACATCCTACGGCAGCCAACCCTCCTTTCAAACCCCTACGATGAGCTCCCAGTGTCACCCCCTCCTGACGCTCCGCTCCTGGCTTCTTTCTCCGGATTCCCTCATGGCGTCGCGCGACAATCCTACAATCCATCCAGTTCCTCCTGCCTGCTCTCGCCACTTCGGGATAACGTCAGATTTGAAACGCAACACTCGCTACACTCCCGATTACGCTCTGCTGTGTTGTCTGCTGGTGGCGATCCGTATGAGTGCCTCCCTACGTTGCCGCGACGTTCATATCAGCTGATAGACATCGGAGCCTGCCTCGCGTCCCCTATCCACCATATCGACGACCCGTCGCGGGCAAACATGTCATGGTTCCTCACAGCAGGTTTGCGGATCCTCCGGCGGACACTTGATTTCTAGCACTTTGTCTTAATCATATTCTATTATTTCTACGTACAGCTTGCTATCAAGAGACCTTTATCATTCTATGCCCATATTGCCTGTTTGTTGTCGGAGCATTCGCGTCTGGTGTTAGAAGTTCTGAGTGTCGCATAATCAATGCGTCTGCACGACGTTTGTCAATATATTTCATTAAACGTCCTTAAATCAATGCGACTGTTGACCAGCCATCGCCCGTCTGCCTCCGGAACCAGGTGGGCTTGCCCAAGTATCGTGCCTATGTCCACTATGGTAAACCTTCTCGCATCGGGTCTAAGCTGAACGGTGACAAGATCGTGTAATTCTGACAGACGCCCAGAGTTAACTGCACTCAAAATCTGAACACAAGCGAGTCGATGTATTGTCTTCTGGTGCCTACAATCTCGCAGTTTGAAGAGTGCCATGAGCTTTCCCGGAAGACGGCCGCGGAGCGCACCATACATTTGCTCCCCACCTGCCTGGACCCAAACCCAATCATTCCGACTAGCCTGGTTTCGAAAAAGCCCGGATCCCGTAGATCTTGCCTGGTGGATGTCGTAAATATCGGTTTCCTGAAAGGCGGGAATTGGGATTTCGAGTTGCGTCAGTAGTTCAACGGGAAGGAGTCGAAGTATAGCAGGATCGTCGGGGAGGCGACGCTCTGCGGGCAGCGTCTGGCGGCTATATCGGATCAATTCGGTACTCATGTTTTCGGTGGTGATACTCAGGGCATTGCAAAATTCGATCAGACATGCAACATCACCACGGTGCCCCTTCAGGACTCGAAGACGGGACTCAGCCCCTGGTGCAGGTCCGGTACCGGTTTTGTTCAAAAGGTCGACAACCTCAGCGGGAATATGAGCTCCTTGGCGTCTTAGTGAATCTAGGTTCAAAAGCCTCATTCGGATCGCGTGTTGTCGGCTATAGCTGCTCAGAATCTGCCTGGAGGCGTCATTTTTATTCGATTGTCGCCATCCGTCCTTAATCTGATCCTTATGCGCCAGCTCCCCAAATTCAGTTGAATACATGGGAATATTTCCAAACTGGTATATGTGATCACGGAAGTGAGATAGCAGATGCATCTTGATGAAGTTGAAATGACATTTTGACTGAATCAATTCCATTCGTTGGTCGTCCTCCTGCCCGCGATGCTGCTTGCGTATTTTCCGTACCTTCGACCTGGGGTGTGATTCATTCAACTGGGCTTGCTGATGCCGTATCCCCCGGACCTGATCCTTCAGTTCGGCTCGTGTCTGTTTCGACATCCGAAATTCTAAGAAGATATCCTGCGTGGCATGAAACCTGTCGAGATATTGTTCCATATAACCTATAGTCTCTGCTGTATGACTTTTATATTGCGCCATCAAACTGAAATCGAGTAATGACCCGACGCAAGCAAGCGCACGTTTGAAAGGTAGCTGTTGCGCACCGTCCGGCAGTCTCAACGCCACAGCTAAAACTGCTAAAAGACATTGCCCCAAATTCCTCATCTCTTTCCCTTGCCACTGCGTAACCTCACGGTAAGCTTTTTTGGGAACAAAGAACTCGGGGTACGGCGGCAAAGACTTCCAAGCATTATCAAATGCTTGTAGTCGCCCATGTTTCTTGAGAAATCCTTGAATCCAATCCATCATGTGCTCAAACAGTCCCAGGTAAATTGTATGAAGGAGACCGGGCTGGTGCAAGTCAGGCGCAAACACCCGTCGGAGCCCGTGGAAAACGTTCCGCCCGATCTTGACACCCAGAGCGTCGAGTGTGGGGTGGGTCATGTCTGAATCTGACATTTCCGACTTGTCGCGAAGTTGCTGCTCGAGTTCCTTGTATGTCGCATAATCTCGGGCCTGATATGCCGTGTTCGCGTTGGCACCTAGCTGGTGTCGACCAACCTCACATTTAGGACAGGCGTTGGATTTTATTCCATGAAGGGCGACGTTTTCCATATGGTCCGCAATCCACGCAGCCAATATCGGGAAGCACCTCCGGACGTTCCCATCCGCACAGTCAATTGGGACGCCATCGCGCGTAGCATCTTGCGAGGGCTCAAATAAGAGTTCGAATACGCCTTTAACGGTGTCGGCATTGATTTCTCTCTGGGATCTGTTTGCTGAAGCCGACTGGGGCAACTTAGGAGGGACTGGTAGGAGCGCAAGAAGGAGGATAGCCATGGATCGGGGCCTGTTACGCCTAGTCGACGCAAGATTTCCTATCGTAACGTACACCGGCCAGGCCTTCTTGTCACCGGAGAAGTTGGTGAGATGGGTCTGATCGGACATCCCGATAATTGGAACAACCGTGGCGCCGTGTGGCAGGGTTTCCTGTCATAGGTTAGCCAGATCTTTAGTCAAAAGGTGATAAGAAATTGGTATAGTACTTGAACTTCCCACCACCAGTCTGCGGTATGCATTTCAGCATATACTCTGTGTCCATTGTGATCGTATTCACGTTGCGGTGCGTAAATAAGATCTTCTCTATAGGTCATCTGACGAAGAAGATATCGGACACAGTCTAGAAGGTTACGGTGGAAGAAAGGTAACGTTCTCATGCCATCATCCACTTTCCCTTCGTACCATCGCAGATACGGCCTGTATTGATCCAGTATACGGAGGTGGTTCTCGAGTGTATGCATTGAACGGTAGCCGATGGATGCCGAATTACCAAGGCCACTTGAAAAGAACTCATTAATACGCGACTTGGGGACTTTGCTGTGAATAAACCAAGATGCAAGTTTGAAATCGTGCACGCACGCGAATGGAGCCCATGGGTCCTCCGCTAGATTGTGGTTGTCTCGTTCAAATCCCTTCACCTGTCCAATGGATTCCCCAGCGCCAGGAAAAATAGCCAGTTCGCTGGGCGCTGAGGACGCGTCAAACACACCGCGTGATTCCATACAGGACTCCTCTATAACCTCCGGATTCAACGAGTCAGATAAGTAATCTATAGGATCACCCTCCGACTCATAGTCGGAATCCGTCTGATCCATCTGGTGGAAAGCGTCATGGCGGCGTAATGGGTCAGATTCACTCTGGCGAAAAGGACCGTCCGAGGAGGTCGGCCGTGTAGTCGACGCGAGAAGAATGGGTAGATTGGCATGGGCGCTGCGCAGGTGTTTCTGGTAAGGGCCTGCCCGGGCGTATTTGCGGCGACAATAAGAACATTTGATAGGCATTACGGGAGCGAGTGCTGTTGAATTTTTGAAGTGCAACGCAAGTATTCAGACGTGAGCAGAATGCTCAAGTTTTGTTGGGTGGTTCGGGGGAGCTAGGTCGCGGT